GGCACAAGGGAGAAAAAGACGCATCTAGCCTGCACCGGGCTATCGGTTATTCGGGTCGGGTATTCGGGTTTTTGCAAAAAAAATTACCCGAACCCGACCCTAGATAACTGGGTACCCGGCAACCGGGTACCCAGTTATCTCGGGTCGGGTTATTGATAATGATACTAATACTGATAGTGATACTGGTACTAATACTGATATTGATACTAATATTGATACTGATACTGGTACTAATACTAATATCATACTAATACTAATACTAATACTAATATTAATACTAATACTAATACTAATACTAATACTAATACTAATACTAATACTAATACTAATACTAATACTAATACTAATACTAATACTAATACTAATATTAATACTAATACTGATACTAATACTAATATTAATATTAATACTAATACTAATACTAATACTGATACTAATACTGATACTAATATTAATACTGATACTGATATTCATATTGATATTATTAATGTTACTGATACTGATATTATACTGATACTTATACTGATACTGATACTTATACGGACACTCACACTGATATTTATACCCATACTTATACTCTTATTCTCATACTCATACTCATATTCATACTCATAGTGATACTGATACTATTATTAATATTAATACTAATATTGATATTGATATGGATACTACAGAGGAATCTTGCGGGATCTTTAGCGCCGGTCATCTAGATGACTGCAGAGGAATTACAAGCCTTAATGGAGAAAACGGCGGCCAAAGTAACATCTTAGACAGCGACGGACGCTGTAGCTCAGTATATGAATGCTCAAAGCACAACTAACTTTGAAGAAACTATTCATATGGGAAGTGATCTTACGGATTCCGTGTATGTCCATACTACTCCGCCAATTGTGGAGCTCCATGACTCAGACGAACGAGTATCGCTCGACGGCCAAAGTTATTCCTCCGAACGGGCTCATCAAAGATACGCTCACCACCACTCGCCTCAGCGTAGCGCACCCTCAGACCGCGTGCCTCGAAGATACGATCACCACCACTCGCCTCAACGTAGCACATTCTCAGACCTCACGCCTCGAAGAAACACTCACCGCCACTCGCCTCAGCGAAGCGCATCCTCAGACCGCGTGCCTCGAAGATACGATCACCGCCACTCGCCTCGGCGTAACACATCCTCAGACCGTGCGCTTCGAAGGGAAACTCATCACCAATCACAACGTCCATTAAGGCAAAGAGCCCGATCCCCTTCAAGGGAGAGAGCGACGCAAAGCCGTCGGACGATAAGCGGTTATTCCCGGTCGTATGACTATCGTCAAAGACCTCGAGGCGGGGGACACCATGAACATGCGCACCACCGCGAAAACTCCCCTTGAAACTAAAGCATAAGTAGAGCTTCCCGACACCAATAAGCAAGAAGGCATCGACCAGGCTCTGACGACTGCAATTAAAGGAGTCCTCGGCGAGAAGTCTCGAGGTCGACGATCGCTTACTTTGGGGCATTGTCCACCCGAATTACCCATTTATTCCTGTTATTATGGAATAAGTGTTGCCTCAAGGATTTAGGATCTCAATCTCCCCCAATTCGACGAAACCGGGGATCCCTAAGATCACTTAAATAATTTTTACGCCAAGATTGACCTCTACGGTCTTAGTAACACAGCTCACAACAAGATTTTTCGGACCACGCTAGCTGATCAGACACAAATTTGGTGCAACGGCTTGCTCGAATGGTCCATAGACAATCTGGACCAACTAGCGACAATTTTCCGTCACCAATACTCTATAAGCAAGAAATACGTCAAAACTGGTCGTATCTCTTCAAGGTCATACAGCGGGACGGAGAGTCGCTCATGAATTACCTGCAACGATTTGTCTAAGCAGTATATAAAGTGCTCCTCCTTAATCACAAAATGTTAACCGACATACTGCAACACAATTTGAAGCATGTTCGTTCAAGGCATCTACAATCGATTTAACAAAAGATCAATAGACTCAAAAAATAGCTAAAGGGGAAGATATCAAGGATCACAAAGGGTGTGGCCAACCCGAAACTTGGTTTCTCGCTCCCCAATGTTCCAAAAATAGAGCAACTAAAGCTCCGGGGAGTCTTACCCGCCCCAAAAAACTTAGTAAGCGGGCAGACTTCCAACATAAAAAAACT